GGCGCAGTCTGCAGATGGGACCAGAAATCTTACGCTTGGACGACCTAGGCCTTACCATGAGTTCCGTAGCAGACTAAATGAGAAACATTGATGTCGTCGACAGTGACAACTTCGTAGTGGCTTCGGGCCTGCTACAGCGAGTATTCCCAGCTTGCGCGGCGGTTTGAGCATTGTCTTCCAGGATGCACAGGTAGTCTAGCAGGCATCCAATGTTAAGACGTAGGCTCGCGTGCGCAGCAACCGGAGCTTTGAGAAGCACGAATACTATTTCTGTCCATTCTTTACAAGATACTCTAAATCAATGGCAGGAGTCTTGCGATGGCTACCTGCGTGCAATTTGGGACGGAAAATTTGGTGCAAAATCGCAAAACGGAAGATTTGGTGTAAATTTGCAAAACGGAAAGTTTAGTGCAAAATCGCAATACGGTTGTAAAATGCAAAATGGAATTTGGTGTGGAATTGCAAAGCGGAAATTTAGTGCGAGGGCGCACCCGTGTCACGTGGCCCTGGAGGCGCAGTGAGTGCAGCTTCGTGGTCGACCCCATGCATTTGTTTTCCTCCGAGATTGAAAAGGTTACTTTCCAAGCTTGTCGCGATGCCCAAGGCACGTACCCTTATCGAAAGGCATTTGCCAGACCTCGTCAAGCGCCAGAGGAAGAATGAATCGCCGGCGTTTGAGGCTGGGGTGCGTGCTTGTCTAGGTAACGCCGCGCCTCTTCAAAACGCCCCTTTTGGGTTGAAACTGATAATTATACATCGAGCGCCCTTGAGGCATATTGAATACTTCGTCAGGGACTCAAAGACGTTCTTGAAATATTGCAAGACGGTGATGTGATGCGAAGGTAATTATCCAGGTAATAGCATGACCCGCGCGACCTGGGTGAGCTCTCCAAGAACATTTGGAGGGCAAGCATTGCGCTTCACAGCGGCGATTCAAATTTACACCCAGCTGCTGGTCAACAAACGTTGTGGTATCGCTATGATCAATACTGTCAGCTCTTCGTCACGACCTAGAAGGGCTTCTATTGGCCGAATGCTGCAGACAAGAAATTGATCACAATAAACAGTTTTCTGCATGGATGCCTGACTCGTTCATCTAAAGCGGGTCGCGGCGCACAGGTCGAAATGGTCCCTGGATATCGACAAGCTCAGTCCTGAACTAGAGAGCTTCGCTTGGTCTTCTACGGATCCTTGTCGATCAGAAAGACCCTGCAAGTATCAACTCTAATCGCCTGGTAGCTACTGTAGATCTTTGGGAACAGATACAAAGAGCTGAAAATGGCATCTGGTGAGGTGGGGACCTAGAGAGCTCCAAGGTTGGACCCAGTCTCGGCTGATGTGTTGGTGTGTCTATGGCTGCTCCAGCACCTGACCACCGCCCGTCGTTGGCACCATCGGCGCATCATGCTCGCGCACAGTGGCTTCTGGCTGTGCTAGCAGCCTATCGCTTCAGGCGACGGCGGCTCTGTCCATGCCCACTTCTCCCCTTCGTTGGTTCCCTTTCTGCCCGTCAGCTTCTTGACAGCGGGCACTAGCACTAGTCGACACCAGAAAAAAAGAGCGAGACAACTGCCAATATCAACGGCCAGTCAAAGTCAGCGTCGCAAGCTTTCTTCCCTGGAAAGTGCTATCGCCGGAGTTACACCCTCGACTGAGCCGACACGCAAGATGAGGAAGCGACACATGGGCGACATCTTGCGTAGGTGCACAAAGACATCGAGTGGCTGATCTGTGACATTATGCATCCTTAACATATATTTACGATGCTGGCACGCACAATCGTCAGCCTAGGTCTACCCGGCATTACATACCGTCTAGCCAGCAAACTCCGACATGCAGGACAAAGACCGCGGTCTAATGCCCTTAAAGAAGAATTTGTTCATAATGGAAAGAAGATGAAATCTTCAGAATAGTATGCACCATATATTTATAGAGAATCACAGCTGTGTTCCCGAGCGACCATAGGCAGCAATGCAATATGCATTGGTTTATACCTAGAAAGCATTATGGACATTTTTGTGAAGCACTGTGGGAAACCAAGCATTTCCCCCTCCCCCACTTGAGTAGATACAGATGCGCTAATGCCGAGCCGACTTCCGGTCCGTTAGACCTGACCGGTTGGCTTCTCCCAGGGTTGTTGACGAGTACCATGAGTATACCATGACCCAAAAAATTCTTGTCGAGTTTGTCGCCAGGTCAAAACGCGAAGGCCAACCGGCACTTGCGAACTTTTGGTTTGGAAGCTTACACTGGCAGGCTCGATCGGTCTTGGTCGACTATGTGCAGCGTGCCATTCGCGGTGCGGCCAGTCAGGAGTGACGCGTCGGCCGAAGTTGTTTTACGATGCACTTGGCATGTCTACTACATGCTTCGGCGCAGCGGCCACAAATTGGCGCGTTTGTCTGTCGCCCTGAGTATCGCCCCGCGACACTCTAGTGTTCACCTGGCGTCTTGATGTTGTTGATGAATGAGGCTGTGTCGGCTGCAACGATTTTGGTTATTTTTGAATTAAAAGTCTGCGCATCATCAGACCTGCCCCGTTCGTTTCCATTTTGTTTGATGGCTTTTGCGACGGCGGCAGCTTTGTAGGCCGCAATCAGACAGCATTTGTCTTGCCACATAGCCTCAGCTTCGAAGGCAATGTCACGAGACACATGATACTGATTGACTATTTATATGTCAACTCTGTGCCGATTTCCTCTCACCCGTACACTCACTGACACAATTCAATTCCTCACATCCAAGAAGAAATGCTTTATCGCTCCGACAACAGACGTGGCGTCGATCCAGTCAATGGGTTCGACAAGCTGAACCCAACTACACAATCGTACGTTGAAGAGGTCTTCTATACTATTTTACAGATCAAGCCTGGAAACGAGCCTGGAGACTCATATATGCAACTGGCATGGGCTCTTCATTGCCTTGGTGTAGGCCTTTTCGAGTACAATCCTAAAGCGCGCACCACACCAGAGATGTTGATAGCCCAAAGGGTTCATGAGCAGACGAAAAAGGCAAAAGTTTTCATCTCTTACGACGACAGCGACTTCAATTTATCACACCTTACTGAAGTAGCGTCTCGTCGCGTTTGGGGTATGGATGATTTGAAGACCATCGCGGCGGAATGGATGAGCGGCAAGGACGAAGAGAAGTTATTGAAGCCGGGAAGACAACTCCTGGCAATCTGCAAAGCGGAATATGAGGACTTAAAAGAAAGAAAGGCGGTACGTGAGATGAACCCAGCCACGGTCGAAACAAACAGGACAAACCGTACGATTCGCCAACAGGACGCCAGTACGAGACAGCTTGGCAAAATGGAAGAACCAGACGAGAGAATGGCGCCTACTTACCGCACATTCTCGGAAAACTACAGAGTTCAGTGTTTCAAACCAAAAGCACGAAAATCTGCAAACGAAGAGTGCCAGCTGGCGGCGAAAACATGCCTGTCAAAAAGCACACATGTTAACAAGGTTGATGGCCGGGTTGGACGGTGCAGAACCAGCTCCAAGCACCCATCATGGTAAGTGATCGCGATTACATGATTTCTTATAACTTTTACTGATGGATCCAGTGAAATCTGCTCCGATAACAGTCCGGGAGTGGAGGGGCAACGTTGTCGGGGGTCGAAAGAACACTTCTACTGCTTGGAGTGTCTACAAAACCTGGCTCAGAGTACATTCGACAGCGGCGAAACCACGATTCGATGCCAGATAAGCTGGGAAGAATGTTCTGCTCCTTTTCTTGCTAGCCAGTTCCAGTTTCTGGAGTCGCAATTTGAGGACCCTCGTATGAGGTTACTTTTCGAACAAATTTCCCGCGACGAAAGTCGACGCGCTGTCGAGCTGGTGACCGAAGATGATGCCAGATGTCCTTTATGCGACTGGCCAGAGCAGTACCCTGATTTTGAAGAAGAACCTATATTCTTCTGTCGAAACCCCGACTGCGGCTCAGCGACTTGCAGACGCTGCTCACGTCAAGCGCAGCCTGGACATGAATGCAAGGAGACTACAGTCATGTCTCTTTCAGAATCCAAAGAAAAAGTCTTTGACTTGTTTTGCGAAGGTCTCTCGATGGCTGTCATACGCAAGTGCAAGTAAGTGGCTCGTTTCATCAATTCGTTGTTCATGGCTAACTTTAGTAAAGCGAATGTAATATCGAATTCATTCTCGGGGAAGCCTGCAACAAAATTGTTTGCGGCAAGTGCAAAAAGAAACAATGGTATGGAATCTTTCTCTTGAAAAGAAGGAATAGAAATTCCTGACATGATTTCGCAGCTATATTTGCCACCAAAGTCTTGGAGGTGCGACGGATGATAACGCATACGGCCATTTCACCACCAGCGGTGAAGAAGGAAAATGCCCTCTCTACAGAAACACAACCTTGTTGCATTTGGAAAACAGACATACATCACTGGAAAAGATTGCAGTCACGATCAGCACAGATTTTCCAGATCTGGCGCCCCTGGTGCAGGAATGTCTCGACAAGCACCGGAAGGAACTCCAAACAGAATTTGACAGCCTGTCAAAAATGAAAAACAAAGGCGTGAGTTTTCCAGCGATGTTTTGATTGCATTTTTTGTATTGCCTCGGTGTCTCATCCTGAGCATCTATGAAAAAACCAGATGAACAATTATTCAGCCTTAAGACCCACGAGCAAAAGAGCCTTGATATTTCATATTAGTAACTCGCATGTTATTTATTCATTTTAGTTTATTACGCTTTGGTGGAGAATTTTAAGAGGGCAACTATAAGCCTATGCTAGTATCCAATCTGAAGCTAAACTGTTACCCAGGAAGGACGGCCCGGCAGTTTTTTGCAGCCACAGTGACTCCAGTAGTCGACTATGCTCTTGACCTTCAAAGAAGGGTGGACTTGGAGTGAGGAACATCAGAACTATTTTCGTTATTTGGATAACGGAACCTGCGAGTTGCGCCGGAATAAAGCAGGCGAATCATCCTCCAAGTCGTCAGCACACAAAGATAAGCCATCCAAAGATGAGGAATCTTCCAAGGGCAAGGAGAAAGCTTCAGCCCATAAGGACAAGAAATCGAAGGATGAGAAGTCTTCTAAGGGCAAGGACAAGGCTTCTTCAACCCACAGAGAGAAGTCATCAAAGTCCTCTAAGGGCAAAGAGAAGGAAAAGGGGAACTAGCGCTGCCACCTCAGGTGTGGTGTCAGGCGGGGGGGCGACGGCAAAAGACAGTTGTGGCCAGAGGCCCGCAAGAGGGGTTAGTTAGTACATGTTTTTCAGCCTTGCGCGGGAGGCATCCCTCAGGGATCCGTGGGAGTCGGGCACACCAGAGGGTAGCTTTTTCCTCAATCAACACCGTCGCTTCATGACCAATAGCTGCTCCGCAGGAGGCAGAGACGTCATTTTGGACATGTAAAGTAGCTTAGCTAGTGAGCCCTATTGGCTGCGTAGTCACCGGGCGTAATAAACCTTTGGTTTGTATCAAGTGCGTCGTCTCATTATCCACCAGTGAAAGCTTATGGGAGGCATGGCTCGAGAAAGTAGGATTGACCGGCGTCTGTAGAAGCTAGCTCTGATATGTCGACACGTCATTAAGTTAGCGGACCCTACATGTCAGCGGTCGTTGGGCTACGCTGTTGCAGCTACACGAAGGACCCTTACTACAGAAGCCTTCTACGGAGGCTCAACCGAAAGCGCTATTTGGTGACTGGGAAAAACTTACTCCACCATGACCAGGTTCAGTTCCGTCCGGCACGCCCAGCACATTTCCTACTCATACCCCGCAGAACGGACACAGCAGCACATTGACTCACAAAAGTGACCAGGCATTGAGGCAGATGAGCGAGACACTTGAAGTGTGGCTTGATTGTTCCTTTCCCTCGCTAACTAGGCATATGCATTACCCGGCAACCGAGAGAAACGGCTGCTCATCATAAACCGCCGCGTGCGTCCATCAACACACATCGGAAGAAGCTCGCCCCAAAATTCGCAAAACTACGGTATGGGTGTGATTCAGCGAATTCTAAGACTTAAAGCTGCCCTGATGGACACGTGCACGTGCGCAATCACATGCAAGGTTAGCCCCTCAGGCAACCCCGCGAAAATTGCCAATCTTACTTGCTGCCCAAGGCAGCGACGAAATATAATTATACCTCAAGTGATGTAGCCATGACCACACTCAGTGAAAACCAGACCGAGTGGCTACCGCAAACCTGACAGTCATCCCGCTCCCGACACGATGGTACGAAATACGCTCTCCTGGAATTGCGGTGCTGACGAGAACGCTAGGCCTTCAGACCCCAAAATTTGGAAGGAACCGAAACGATTGTCTGGAAGGAGAATGCCTTTGGCACATTTTTCGGTAATGGCGGAATGATATACTGGATGGAAGCCAATGTAACAAACAAAAACACATCTGAAGAATATCACGATTACAGAAGAGGAAAGGGCCGTTTAGCTAAGGATGAGGTGCTCTATATTTACGGCGGCAAGGTCTATCAAGAAGCTCCGTAGACGCAAATGAACTCTATTCAGCTAGATAAACAATCGAGTATTCTTGTGGCGTCTGTTGTGTCAATAGCAATGCTGAGATAGCAATACTTGCGTGAAATGGACAGGGATACACTGTCTGTACATTGCATGCCATACTGCAATTCCGTCTGTCGGCCAGGACCTGCTTCGATATACTTCCAAAGTTGCTGGCTAAGTTTAGTAGCGATGGCTTGACCAGTAAAGCTTTTGAAGTCGAAACCTCCCCCTACAACCACAACGCCGCCTTTAACTTCGAGCGCTAGCATATCATCCATCAACCGTAGTACATTACCGGAGAGCTCCTCCAAAAGTCGCTTCGCCGTGGGTAAATCCAGAGGAATCGTCATAAGACAACCAACCGAACCTCCCCAACTTGGAAAGAACATGGTAATGGTTTGCCCTTCAGCGCACCTGGTTACGTCGGCAAATTGCTCGTCAAAACAGGTGATGATGCTTTGTCTTGACCATTTCACTTCTGCGGCCTGCCCTTCTGTGGCCCGTCTGGGCATGCCTGGCGTTCTCGGCGAGATGATATTTGCAGACAGAGTCCTGTTTTCTTGCCCTGGCATATGAGTTGCGTCTGGATTTGTTAGCGTAGCGTCTATAGACGTCTTCCTCCTGGCTCTCGCCCCAGTTTCTGGGAAATAGGTCAGCTGGTATGGCCATGTGAAGATGGTGTTGGGTTGAGAGTACCTACCTTGTGGCAAATGAGTAACGGCAAGATCCGCCAAAACCTTGCTCTTAAAACTGAGCGCAGCTTGATTGCCAATCAGAAGTTCAACCAACTTAGGAATATCTGCTATGTGCATGTAATATAACCAGTTCTTCCGGATAACGGCAGTGTATAGCAACTGCAGTGTTGACTTGCATTCTTCCTGTAGTTGAACAATAAAGCTCCCGTATTTGTCCGAGCGATTTAAAGGTGCAGTGGCATGTTGCACATATGCTTTGGCAGCCAACAGTCGGTCTTCTTCGTCTTGGCTCAATGCCCCCCGGAATGCTTTGGCAGTCAACAACCGGTCCTCTTCGTTTTGGTTCAATACCCCCCGGCGATCAATCTCGGCTGCTGCCTGCTTGACTAGTCTCCAGACATCTTCTGGACTCTTCGCTTGCTGGCATTGTCTCGGTCTTTTTCTAAGCTGTTTTCCAGGCATGACGGAAGCTGCCGAGCGGACGGCAGAGCGGACGGTAAAGCGGACGACAGAGCGGACGACAGAGCGGACGACAGAGCGGACGACAGAGCCAACGAGGGAAACAAAGTGGACAGCGATAGACGGGATGGCAAGGGAGAGACAAAGAAGACAACAAAGTGGACGACAGAGCGGACGGCAGAGCAACAAGGGAAGTCAAAGAAGACAACAAAGTGGACGACAGAGCGGACGACAGGGTTGGGACATCAAGGGGTAGCCCCGCTTTTCTAACTGGAAGCCGAGCTGCGGCCACGCAGACTCGAGGTATTCGCCCCTCGTTAGCTGCGGCTGGCACATAGCAGCCTCCTCCACAAGAAGCCCACCCCCTACCGAGTATATCGTGGCATTCCGTTCACGCGGGTGGCACACAGGCTCCTACCTTGCTAGACTTGCTTTCAGCTTTTTTATGCAGGTCTCTCGATCCATGACCGCAAAACTGGTTGAAATTTGTCAACCGAGTGTAAATAGACAATCGTTCTGCCGCTGACCACTTGCCGCAGCATGCTTGCTACCGAGCTCACCGAGTCTCTTCGCCGCCATCTTATCCGGGAGAGATGTGAGGCACGCTCAGATAATTCGGCCGTTTTACAAATAATTTATCTCCCATTCAATCTGACCTCAATAAATATACTTCCATGGCAGTTTTTTCTCGAAGTACACCGGCGATCCTTGCGCAGAATGTGTCATGGATGCCGATGCCATCGTGGTGAATGCGCCCGCTATAACCGTGCACTGATAGCCGGTTGCGCATCTGTGGGAGCATTATTTCTTTACAAGCAGACTGAAATGGTGTAGCTACTCTTCATATAACCTTGTGCCGATAATTGATCAGATTCATCTCCAAAAATCTAGCCTGCTGATGAAGTCCCGAGCAGCAGTGTGTAAGGCAGCCGCGTCGCTATTTTGAAGTTACACCCAATCTCCCTTTTCAGTGGCTCTTGTTTGGAACCAGCACCGCCATAATCAAGGTCTCAGGCCCAGTCGGTCGACCGTCACACAAGACTTCGTATCGGGCCTCGACAAGTGCACACCAGTCCTGCTCTTGCCTCTGCACTATTGGCGAAGAGCAAAGAAAAAAAAGGACATGGGGATGACAAGAAGAACAGGGGAAGGGGTGGTATTACAGCTGCTTACCCAGCCTGCTCAAATTCTCAATGGAGGAGAGAGGGGGCCTTTAAATGCCACCACGTCCCGCAGATCTCAGAATCTCCAAGCCGTCTCCATCCCATGGTGCAACCACCCGTTCAGGTCTTTTACTATACTTCATCGTGCATCTCCCCCTCTCCTAAGAGAAAAGCTCTTAGTCGTTCTCTAGCTTTCTTAGCTCCTCCTTCTTAACTTTGTCTCCGATCTCGTCCTCCGTTTACCTAAAACCCCCCGTCTATCCAAATTCATCCCAAACCCTTGAAGCAATGGGAAGCGCTAAAGTTCTCGACGAGCAGCGAAAGCGAGTTAGGCAGGCCTGCAACGGCTGCCAGAGCCGCAAGCAAAAGGTGCGACTGAGACCAATTCGAAAACGATCCATGGAAACGCCCACTGCATGACCACCCAAGCAAGGGAGAAGGGAAAGAATTAACAAGACGAGACAGTGCGACGGACAGACGCCTTGCTTGGTCTGCGAGAAGCGAGGGCACAAATGCTTCTACGATCCTCTTCGGAAGCGCAAGAACATCACCCGCATCCCGAAGAACGATGGCATCGTGCCGTCCCCTCAGAGCTTGACCAGTCCGTTTCCGCTACAAAGCATAAAGCCGGAGCCTGGCAACTCGCCTCACTTACACTCGCCTCTAGCCACAGGCTTCCTTCCCCCCGGACTGTCTAACTCCCCGTCGGCCATTTCGGAATGGAGCCATCCGTCCGATGTTCTGGTGGACAGGTACGAACCGGAGGCTGCTCCTAGAGTCCCTAATCAACCTAGCGTCCCCGTCTGTGCGTACAGCCCTAGTTCACCTTCTCCTCCTATACCCCAACCACTGACACGATGAACTTGCATGTAGGTGGCTCCTCGCCGGCTAGTTTTCTCGCAGAGACTAAGAGACTAGTATTGCTCATGTCTGGGCCATGTCCCTTCACGCAATGTCACAACAACCTCAGCAAGATGGGGAGTAATTCCCGTTCGCAGCAACTTCCCACTCAAGTGCCCTTGCCTGCCCAGGACATAGCAGAGAACCTCGTGAAGCGAGCTTCTCAATACGTACGTTTCCTTTTGTGCAACTTCTTCTACTGCTAATTCATCTTCCTAGAGTAACCACCAGGGTGAGGAATCAATCCACGAAATCCACTGGTTGACCAATATATTGACCTCAACACGCGTCAACGTCAACCCACGACTTGAATTGTTACATAATCAACCAATCCACGGTGCTGCGCATTTTGATGGACGATATGGATGGATTGACCAGTCGTCCAGCATCGCGAGAAACGGAAGCTCTGCTGCAGGGTAAGAGGCCAACCTAAGTCGCTCGCTGGGGCCGACGTAACACTAGTTGTCGGCACTATCCACCCACTACAGTACGGCGGGCGCGCCTTGTCGCGTCCTGCGACGCGTCGCCATTTTAGGCCACCTGCAACACGAGGCGACTGGCAGCTGAAACATGGCCGAGCCAGTAACTACCAACATCGAACCTAAAACACCAGCTAGCGATGATACCCCGCACGATGCTTTACTGCTCCCGAGGCTTGCCCTTCTAGACGCGGGAAAAATTCCTTTGACATCCTGGACGCCATCCTCAGATGAGGAGCAGCGCATATTCCGCGTCTGGAAGGGCTTCACACTAGCCGAACGAACCAAGGATACGGTGTCTTGGATATGGGACTACGGCGTTGAGATTCAATCAGAAGCGTCCAGGCGATGGATCTGCATGCCGTGCGTGCGCCAAAAAGCATCATCACCACAGTCATACGAATCAAGAGGCACACAGAATGCCGAGCACCACCTCTGGAAGTCTCACGGCTACTGGGATCCGTCAGGACGACGACGAACGCCACTGCAGACGAAAGAGGGAAGGAAAGCCTTCGCATCGATCACAGACCTCATGGGCCTCAAACGTTTGGAGCCTAACGACCAGGCCCTGGCGAACAACCTAATCCGACGATTCGATCAAGCCGAGTTCCAGAAGCTGGTGGTGAACTGGATAGTAGAGAGCCAGCAGTCATTCAGGCAGGTCGAACATCCACGTCTGCGACAAATATTCGAATACCTGAATCCTGCGGTGCGTATCAAGGATGCGCATGTTACTGCTAAGACTATCCAGAGCTTGGCTATTCAGCAGTTCGAGCGCCATCGCGATGCCGTTCAGCATGCATTGAGGAGGTCTCCGGGCCAGATACATATCGCTTTCGATGGCGCGAGGACCAGAAACCGTCACGCATTATACGGCGTGACGGCTGTCTTCCGAGATGAGGACAACCAACTCCGAAAGCTTGTCCTGGGCATTCCGGAGCTGGTGGAACGACACTCCGGCGAGAATATCGCTGCTGAGATCCTTGACATTATTCGCTCCTTCGGCATCGAGGACAAAGTGGGTTACTTCACCCTCGACAATGCAGCGAACAACGACACGGCGATGCGCGAGATCGCGCAAGAGTTGCACTTCGATCCGGTGCGACGGCGCGTTCGATGCGTTGGCCACATTCTCAATCTCGTCGTCAAGTCCCTTCTGTTTGGAAAAGATGTCGAGGCGTTTGAGGACACCGTCGCGAAGGGCGAAGCACTGGCAAGGGCAGCGCACGACACGTGGATGCGGAGAGGCCCCGTCGGCAAAGCTCACAACTTTGCCATTTGGGTCCATCGGTCGGATGTTCTGACGCAGTTGCTTCGCCAAATCCAACAAGACTCGTATGCGGCAGCTGACGACGCCGAAGTTGGGAAGCAACGGCCAGTCGACGTGGTTATTGACAACGATACCAGATGGCTATCCCAATACTACATGATCAAGCGGCTGTTGCGACTGCAGCCTTTCTATGAAGAGTTCATTGCTAAAGCAAAGAGAATCTTCCGAGATGGCCGGAGAGGAGAGGTAGGCCGGAGGTTTCCTCCTTGTCTTGAGGAGTCAAGCTTCCTCACCGAGAACGATTGGGCGGTGCTCAGGACTTTTGACGAGATCCTCTCGGACTTCCACGTGGTTGTACAAGCGCTCCAGGGCGATGGGCAGCCGCGTTGTCGCGCCTCCGGCATACGAGAGACCTTCGGTTCGATGACTGACGTGCTAGAGGCATTTGAGTTCCTTCTGAGCAAGCTGGAAGACGCAAAGTCGCAGATCGAGACGCATCCCGAGCCGGAGCATTTTGGCATTAACGTCAATCTTGGCTGGATGAAGCTGGACAAGTACTATAATACCTTGAGAGACACGCCGGTCTACTACGCTGCCGCTGCTTTGCATCCTGGGCTGCGATGGACTTATTTTGACGAGATTTGGGGCCGGCACCACCCGGAATGGGTTGAAGAAGCGAAGCAGATTGTGCAGCAGCTCTGGAGCAATGAATATAGTAACCTGCAAATCACAGTCGCATCCACTGCCGATGGGCCAGCGCTAAAAAAGCAGAAGACTGTGCTGTCCTCATTTGATAGGTACCGTAATAGACACCGGCAAAGCAATGCACCCACTGCCGGAGCAGATGAATACGCACGCTGGCAAGCTAGCATGTCGGAGCTGGACAGAGATGTGGCTGACCCGGTGGAGTATTGGCACCTGAAGAGATTCGAGTATCCTAAGCTGTCTCGAATGGCACTTGATGTGATGACAGTGCCGGCCATGAGCGCAGAGTGCGAGAGGCTGTTCTCGGCAGCAGGGCTAATGGTTACTCCGCTGCGGAACAGGATGGATGCAGGAACAATTGGACTTATCCAAACCTTACGCTCGTGGCTACGCGCGGGAATAATCAAGGATGTTGACAATATACTGCTGGACAGGGCTGTATCAATGGGGCTTGGGGAGGATTGCTCAACGGAGGAGTTTCGAGGATGAGGCGGGGTAAGGGGGTTTCACGATAGCTTCAAAATTACTCAATTAGGAAATCGATGTGGAGACGACATGGGTCCTCAATATTGTGGCCATCAACCCACGAGAAGGCTTCGTGGACTCAACCCACGACAGCGCTGCTGAGTAAGCTGTCAATTCCATCCACGACAAGCACTCGTGGACGTGGGTGGATTGATTCCTCACCCTGGTAACCACTTGGTGGAAATTCTAGATGAATCCACAACACAGGAGCTGCTACACTCGTCGTACTCCAACGTACTTTCCCAAGACCCTGGCAGCCGTTGTCTACTCTACCTCCTTCTTGCAGCCGGGTCTCTCGCAGTAGAACCGCAGCAGATTACGAAGTACCTCCATCCATCTCCCTCGGAGTCTCTTCCACAGTCAGAGGAATACTTTAAGTTTGCCGAGGCGACCCTGCGCATAGGGGGCTACGAGACGTTCGAGGTGTGGATGATCCAAGCATGGGCACTCATGACGACGTACTCCCTTGCTGTCTTGAAGTGGAATGCTGCCGATGTCTATATAGGTGAGTATTCATACACTGCATAGCTTCTACACAACTAACTCGTCTCAGGATTAGCAGTAAGGGCCGCAGACGTACTGGGTATCATCCACGCCCCGGGATCTTCGTCCCGTGCGCCAAGCGAGGTCAAGACAAACAGCGCTCTCTATGGAAAGCTTTGGAAGTGTCTTTTCGTCCTCGACTCCCTCGTCGCGGCGCTCGTCGGGCGGCAGCCTCAAGCCTTCAAGGAGGAAAAAGGCAAGCCGGCCGCCGCCGCTGCCGCCGCCGCGACGGATTGCTCACCACCAAGTCCTCATGGCCGCGACGACTATCTCGCGTTCAACGTGGCCTCGGCTAATACGATCCGCAGGACTATTAAGCTCGTCTACAACCAGCGGCACCTCCCGGCCGAGCGTGCATTGTCGATGTTACAACAAGCGCAGCTCTACACCACGCCCACTCCCGTGTGCTTCCAGGGGCAGGACGGCGCTGACACTTTAGCCACGCAGCAGGCCGTCCTGTTCCGCAACTATGCGGCTATTTTGCTCACGTGGCCCTTCTTCGTCCAGGGGCTATACTATTCTTCTAAGCAGCAGCACGACACGTCGTGGACGTACTTGTCCACTACGTGCGTCATCACCGCGCACCAGTCCGTCGAGCGCATATACGAGGCGCATAGTCAGTCCCCGGAGTTTCGAAACGACTGCATGTGGCGGTATGTACTCTGAATCAGTTTCCTTACGAGCAACAGAAGATTAGTCCCACTGATAATGAGCCCACAAAGACCGTATCTATATACAGCCGTCTTAGTCATCCTCACAAACCAGTTGTTTGACTATCACAAGTATGAAAATTCAGGCATCGTCATCAAGCAAGCCTTTGCCATCCTGGAGCCCTGGACCGCGCGGAGTCCCACGGAAGAGGGCGAGCTCAACAGCCTCTCCTCTCTGCGCTGCCTCGTCGACGAGCAGAAACCACGGCGATTGCCGGCTATGGGCGGCGTCGGTGGCGGGGGGCCCGTTTACGTCAACATGGGCCCTTACGGTGGAGCAACGGCTGGCTATGATGGGCCGAGCGCTGGCAGGACCGACGGCGGCGTCGGGCGCTGCTACTCCGCAGCGCCGGATTACATAAACTCGGCGCCGATGGGCGCGGTAGGCATCGCGCAATCGGGCGCGTGGAGCGCATACGCTTCCCCGAGCATCAACCTGACGCACTACGCGAGCGATGCAGGACGCTATGGGCTTGCGATGCAACAGGACGGATATGAAGGCGATGCCATTCAGGTGACGCAGGATTATACGGCGTATCTGGGACCATAAGTGTATCTATCTTAATAATGAATTGGTTACCGTATCAAGAGCAACAGCATTGTTTGTCATGGGCATCGAATGGGAAAATCACACCAGGGCTTACATTGTCTACATGAATATGTAATGAAGATTGTAAACTATTCACTCTCCTCCTTCATCCACTGGATATTACCCACGACCTCTGCAAATATTCCGCCTGCGGAGCGATGGCAAAGGCAACAGTCTCACTATCCTCGAGAAATTTCAGAGGTCTCGGCACGAAAACCAGCCGCTGCCTGAATCTGGTGTGTCGAAGCACCAGCAGCAGGGAGCCAATTCCGAGGTGAGTATGGGTTAATGCCCCTCTCCACTCGAGGGGATGCTGGTGGCTCTCCCTCATTGACCTTGGTACGGTATTCTGGTCTTGAGATTACCAGCCCTGCGTTTTGGTTACGTCGGCAAGAGTTGAATGCGCTGGTTGCTGTACTTCCATTGACACGCCCCGTCACGTCCACGATTCTCACATGCCCTTCCTCGTCACCTGCGCCTGCCTCAAACTCATCAATCTGTCGATCCAGGTCGGCCAGCGATTCACGGTCAAAAAATGGCCTTCCCTCCGCATAAGCCCATATATATGTTTGCACTTGGGAGAAAGTTTTAGAATACGTTCGTCAAGGAGGAACTGTCATTGCAATGGGCCGGTTTTCGTCTTTTGTCAAACCAAATGACATTAAACCATTATTTGAACGAGCTGGCCTAGATTGGGACCAAGGCGCATATCATCGGACGACCCTCGAGATAAACCGCGGCGCAGTCACCGAAGAAATCGCCAGAGCGCTCCTGCCAAAATACAGCCAAAAGGCCTTGCAACTAGAAAATGTACGTCCTGGGGATATGTGGTACAAAACCAACGAAGCGTCTGTCATCGAGTCTGCAGTCTTTGCTCCAAATAGTGCGCATGTACCTGGCCAAACGGCGGTCGCCCTAGCGAAAGTTGGGAAGGGAAGGCTTGGGTATGTGGGCGACGTTAATGTTGAGCGAGGATCGGATGCCGTTATTCTCGCCATGTGTAAGCAAGCGGAGAATTAGTCTCCCACACTAACGCTTTTTCGCTCAATCAACAATTGTTTACTGTACGTACCTTGATAGATGTACTATGATCGCATAATGTTATTAGTTCATGATAGTACGCCTGCGAAAGCGGGACGATCCGGAGCTACCACCGCGCGGCCCGCCTCGCATCCACAGCGCGGGTCTGCTCTCCACAGTATCGGCCGATCTGTGTCTTGCCACTACCATCATCCATCCATCATCCATCTGCCTAAACTGCCGTAGCCTCCTCGTTGGTGAGGGTACCTCCTGCGCGTGTCGATAAAGCTCGTATGCTCGTGATGCATTAATCTTGCAGGTCTCTTCCTAGATCAGACCTCGCTTCTTGTCGACTCGATTCTACGTCTAGTTGATTCTAGAAGATTGAATAGTAGTAGATATCCAAATCGTGGGGGTAAGTCAGTCTCCCGTTCGCCGCCGATAACACTGCCCAAAGCCTTGACAGCGCTGACAAATTCCTGGACAGTGAGCGGGGTGCGCTGTCGGATCTGGGTCATCGCCAGGAGCGACACCCAAGCTTGGAGGGTAGGCTCCCAAGTTCGTATGAAGAGTTGTGTGCCATGTCTGCGGTTATGTCACAAAACGGTGAATTGAGGTGTCTAGAGGAAAAGACCCACGAAGCATCGGTATTTCTTGAAAGCAGGGCCAGAGGAGAGATTGTCTCTACAAAACCCCATTTGAGCACGGAGCGCTTATTACGGTCGATTTGTGCAGCGCACAAAGCAGTGGAGCACCCAAAAAGCGCTGCGCCAGCGTTCTCATGGGATCAGCATCACTAATGAGTACCTGCTTGCAAAATGGGCGTCTCACAGAAGTACTCTGCCGGAGGATCGCATTGCGCGTCGGAACTCGGTACTTAGTGGTGCTAGACGCGGCATCTTGGATGTGTCTGGCCGAGACTGACACGCGCCTGGGTTTTCGCATTCAATTTCTCTCCCGAGCATAAGAGCACAAGTTGCAGAGCACGTTGTATTATTTTGCTGACGTTCGGATAGAAATTCACTGAAGTAGATCCGGACCTCGTTGCGCCGTTACAAAGCAAGGCATCGCGACCCCGGTCGTGATATCCAGGTTCAGTGGTATCTACATCACTGGCGAGGAACAGTTCTGTTGTTAACAGCGACTATTAGCCATATGTACTGCGTTGGTTGCAGTCCTAACCTTGTAAGAAGTAACGATACAGGACAATTTCACGCCAAACCACAGCTCCACAGTGGCAGCACCCAGGAGATCACGAAGAAAGAAGCTGGAGGCGGCACAAAAGGCAACCAAATGCCGCTTCAACGTCGAGTCGAGACACGACTCGCCCGCGACCGGGTACGTGACCCTCAGGAATTAATCTACGGCAAGAGATTTTGTTCGGAGTGTTCGTTGGAAGTACAGACCGAGGTTGCTCTTCAAAATGTAGAGTAGACCACCTCAATCGGATATAGCGACAGCTATGAAATTGAATCACTCTTGTTTCCTTCTTGAGAGACGAATGAGATACAAAGTGTAGTGATTTGTGGCAGATCACCACAATCTTCTCAGCTGGGAGCGACCGTGGTAACGTCATGCATTATCTCAGGAATTACCAACGCTCGAGTCCAGCCGTGGCCATGCCCGGCGACTCATTCTTGCCACTCAGCTCCGCGCTATTAGCTGGAGGCTAGGGATCCCAGGGACTACGCTCTTGAATCCCAGTATTCTCACGATGGTTGGTTGTTTGGTTGGCGACATCACCTTCTTCCGAGATTCGGCCCGACTCCTCATATGCACGTGGTAATAATGGGGCCCTTGCCGTATTCCCAAAGTTAATTCGATTTGCTGCAGCCGCTGCGTTGGTGGAGGAAGCATAGTAGTCTTCGAGCAGCAAGTAGAAAATCTATACCAGCATGTCGTGTTAGTCAATCCTAATGCTCACTACGAAAGCAGACATACCTTGACAAGAGCACTGATCACTACAAGTCCAAACTCGACTCCAGACGCTCTTTGTAGCGCCGCCCGGAAGGGCCGACCGCAGGCTGTCGTTCTGCCATACATCTCCTCGCATCTGCGCGCCGTTTCATGGTTCGGAAACGGCCATGCTCTGTCTCTGACAGTATTGAAACCGCAACAATTGAATGCATCTTGTATACGACGGATGGTCTGAGCATCATGGCTACTAAAAATTCGTTGCCAAAGAGTCGAAAGCAAACAGTCGTGTGCGTCGGGGGATGGGATGTACGAGAAGAAGAGCGTCGCCAATACGATCGTCCCCACACCCTGAAATAGCCACATCCCTCGGCCGATCGCTCGGCGCGCACGGGTTCTCTTAGCCCATCGGGGACAAAGTGTCGAGTCGATCAAGGCAAATAATAGAAGGATTACAGCGCTAATGGTGAGTCCAGGAATGGGTAGTGATAATTTGGCGGATGAGATGTGTTGATATCTTACACAGATCAGCATGCTGTCTGCGGGACGAGGGAGGGGCACAAACATGGCTACACCGATGAGAAGAACCATCGACTAGACTGAGTTAGCAATGGCGTGACAATCTGTGCAGCGGGGCTCTATGACACACCAATATGTAAACAACAAGAAACTTAGTCATATTGAGTTCGAGGCTTCGAAAGGATGAGTGCGGCAATGCGGTACTCCAACTGTTGACAGCGGGATCCTTTTTAACGTTGCGCGGATTCTGAATATCCCCGCTTTCACCTCTTAAGACGGCAGAAGAAAAGAACCCTTATCATGTGACGGGTGAAGTGTAAGGTGGTGCGAGGACACTAGGAGTGGACGGCTGGCCATGTACATGACCTGTAAGCAAGCTGAAAAGCACGGGAATCCGTTAAAACAGTAGGCTGTGGTGGGTGGCTATACGCGCATCTAGCAACATAAAATATCATCAATTCTAACTTGAGAATGCTACGCAGGTCTGTCAGAAAGGAAAAGAGACACTCGCGTATCGGAGACAGAACTGTATGCCCAGCGTTCAAAAACGATGCTTTTGCTACCTTTTGCGGTGCCCTCAGCGCGCGTTCGGCCCAATGCAAGACCCGCATTGCGAAGCAGACTGGTAATCAACATGGTGGGAAGATGCTCTGATTTCGCCAGTGGAGAAAAAGCTCTCCTAATGGAAACAACCCACAAGTACGTACGCCTTCCCGATCGTACGCCACGCTATTTTCGTAAGGATGATCCAACCGTCGGTCGAGCCAAGGTGGGCGGGGGGTTACTATATCATACTGCCACAACTGCTGCCACAGCTCCGCCAATGGTAGCTGGGCACAAGTCTGTTTGTTCCTCAGCTAGTTCATCACCGATATCGGCAACCAGTTGTTAAGAGTTTCTAACACTTTGGAGTGCAGCAATGGAGTTGTTTGCTTTCGTCAACTTGCATAGTGGCATAGTGGTGTTTCGGTAGGCTGAGCGGACGTTTGTGGGACTGCACATGATCTACGTCTCACGCTCCAGGATGGTGACGGAATACCAGTACTCCCATTCAACTCCACCGTCTTCGCTACACGGCCTTACACCAAAGAGATACGAATCATCGGGCTACGATATTTTGCTCTTTTGCTGAGTCAGTCAATACCATCTACTTCACGCTGTGCTGTCTTTATTGCAGGCTTCTGACGCCCCTCCAACTAGCGCGAATATTATAACCCCAACAGCCGCAAAACTGAAGTATGTCTGCTTCGAGCATCTCCTGAATGAAGCTTGGAATCGCTCTACCTCTTAAATGCGATCCAGTTCATGCAACGGGTACGGGAATCCGCAAAAAATGCGGGAAACCCGTGCTCGCAGCATTAGATATACATTGGACCAACACAATTGCATATCTTCATGGCACACAGCTATGCCAAGATGGCCATAGCCCTAGAGAGGGCGCGCTTAATGTAAAAATATAAGTGTTAGTTCTTATACCTAGCGAGTGTTGAGAGCCCCAAGCCGCATTTGGTTCATAACACAACTGTTCCTACTAAACGCCATGAGAATTCCGCGGGGGCCGAGACTCCTGTTCTTCACGTGAATATCCATCGTTCGAGTCACTGGCCAGAGCTTAAGACTGAGCGAGCGCGACGGAGGTTAGGCTTTAGGACGCTCTTATGCCGTAAAAAGATTGCAGTGATTCCGGCTGACCTTGTAGTTCATTAGTGGGTCCTTCAGTATCACAACACCCCCGTTTTGGCGGGGCGCTGGGCCATTTTCAGTCGTTACGTCGCAACGGCGCCGAAGTGATAGATCTCTGATTTGCGTTTCAGGCAATCACTCCCTAAGTACAAAGGCTATCTGCAATCTACACTCTAAAAGCAATCCTTCAATCGATTCTGTATCGCTTTTGGTGGGCAGACTTGGCAAAATTCACCGCGCATTCGGAGTCTAACCCATCACGGCACCCCAAGTCCTCAAGGGGACCTGATAATTGATACCCAATCTCGTCAAGACTATGTTTAAGGTATCGGATAAGAAGCCGGAGGAGACGAATCGGACACCGATCGGGCCGCAGCATCAATGACGATAGCAGCTCCATGTCACTGCAGGCGACATATCTGTCTGGCTCGCGCCGACAACGACAGCAAGGACAGCCCACCCCACCAGGTTCCAGATATTGACACCCGCAACTCCCACCGCTCCGGTTGCGGCAGCATCAGCAGCAATGGCGGCAGCCAAGGCAGCTTCAGCGGCCGCGACGGCACCTGCCGCCTCAGCGGCCACAGCAGCAGCGAGAGCGGCCTCAGCAGCGGTAGCTGCCGCCGCTGCTCAAGCAGCGGCGGCAGCGTTGGCGGCAGCGTTGGCGGCAGCGTTGGCGGCAGCGAGAGTCGCAGCTTTTTCAGCCACGAGGGTAGCAAGAGCAGCTACTCCACCCCCGGTACCAGCGATAGCAACCATAGTGTGATAGGGGTTTTTTCCGCCTAGTGTAGCTGCAAGGCGTTGAAAATCCTCACAATGGTCCATTCGCTCGTATGTGGGCCAAGCTTGTTGGAAAAGGTTTGTGGTGATTTGATGCTGCCGAAGAGGTTGGGAGTTGAAGTGTTGGCAGATTAGATTGTACTAGAAAAGGCTCTGGTTTGGAAAGCGCAGAAGAATTAAAACGCGGGGTAATAATTTGGGTAGCCACGTGACTTGACTTCGTTGTTGCCATCCGCGGCCTCTTGTGTTCGAGACAAATTACGTCGGTTACGGCTATACTGTACCGAGCACATATGATAATATTCTATTTCGGAATTCAGTAGAATTATGGTGGTCACGATAGGTAATCATCCACGTCGTTGGTTAGTTATCTTATTGAGCGATGATAATGATTACAGCAACACAGGACGCTGGCCTATTTTGTATTCAGCTGAGTTGTGCATAATAAAAACGGCGCACTGTGCAGCCGTCAAGCCGACCAGTCATAATGGGTCGTTTCTTCGTGGGTCTGGTTCACGCCCATGATTGGTTGCAATCTCTAGAGAGAATAATGGAAGAGTATGTGAACGAGGACGCCTGACGTGTCGCGCTCGCTCCACAAGCACCAGCCTCATCACTGTGCAAGGTGTCCGCAGCTCCCCGCCGGCCCCACTTACACCAACTCGGCGAGTAAGCTGGGTCAGAGAAGCCGCTGCCTCCCTACCACGCCCCTTCCACTATCGGCTCCGTGTCCTCTAATCAGGGTCAAGTAGTTAATCGATTTACTGTTAATGTATATCGTCCAAAGCGGTATCATGGGGTGCTTGGATGGAAGCGCGTTTTCTAGGCCTTTATGTGCGACTTTGTGAACACTTGTCGCTTCTGGCGTTGAGGGTCCGCGCTGTCCCCTGTAAGCAAAAGTAGCGTGGACTGTGAAAATGCTACCCCTCCCCTACATTAATACCCCGCACACCGAGTATCCCGCTCGCCTTGTTGAATTCTCGAACCTTACTATTCAAACCAGGATTTCGAAAACTATGGCTGCTTCTCCTCGTGGCCCTAATTTCGGCCACCTCTTGAAAACGGGCGAATATACTGATATGACTTTAGTCTGCAGCGGTACAGAGTTCAAGGTGCACAGGGCTGTTGTTTGTTCGCAATCCGACGTACTTGCTGCTGCGATCCGAGAGCCTTTCCAGGTACACAACTTCGACGGCCTGTCAGGACATGGAAAACTGATTATAATAGGAGTCAAGCACAAGGACCATCGTGATTGAAGAATATGATACAGACACAGTCCAAAAGATGGTGGAGTTCCTGTATACCGGAGACTACACCTCACTACTCCAGGAAGCTGAAGAGACCAGCGACAGTACAGCACCAGACGAAGGCTTGGTACAACACGTGCTCCTCAATTCAATTGCGGATTACTACAACATTAAAGCACTCGCTGAGTTAAGTAAGGCAAAGCTTCGACACGCATCACAAAATACAGCGAACAAAACCTTATTCCTCGATGCGGCGAAAGAGGCGCTGAGCAGAACTGGAGACACAGCACTGCATGATATGCTAGCTGAAGCGACCGCAAACAATATCAGAAATTACTTAGAATCTGAAAAGTTGGTTGAGATAGTTGGCAGATTCGGCGTTGAAGTTCTTCGAAGAGTTATTAACATGGGAGACGAGCTGCGAGAGAAGATAATGCATCTTCATTTTCAGCTTGAGAGCGAACAAATTCGCCTTGAGCGTGCCGAAACAAGATCAGCTCAAATCGTGGAGAATATCAAAAGCTGTCTCAAAACGCTGAGGGAAACAAATGGTTGCCGAAATCTGAACTGCGAAGCGAATTTCGACTGTTACATAGAACAGCGTGGCCATGTCTCTCAGCCATTGTTCGTACTTCGATGTGCCCAATGTCGATGCCGGCACTAGCAAAGCGTGTTCACTTGTATACATGGAAAACTGCAATAGCGAAGTCCAAAATGCCGGCAATTTGTACGATATACATGGTTGAGCATCACTGATGCAAGTGTTTTGCTTTCCCCAGCATCTGCACCCCCTAGTTCACTCTCTTAGCGCTCGACGGTCCGTTGACCTTGGGCAAGAGGAGCGTGACCGTGACCAAAAAGGATCGAAAACGTGGAACGAAGATCTTGAAAGAATTGACGTTCCTCTAAAGCGTACGAAAAAACGGCGCCAGATAACTCGTCCGACTGTGCACCGACTATCTATGGAAGTGTGAATCCCGCGTCGCTTATATCTCGAAGAAATACACACCAATATGTTCGAGGTCACTCTAGCAAAGACTTCACGCGACATGAGACAGGCGAGAACTATCCGACGACGAGTCAATGCCTAAAGTCCGGACACCCTCACGCCCCTTGGCCGAGGAGTGAGGCTGACGACACGAGCGACTTGGTTTTTAAGGTACCTAGGTACCTAGGTAGGTATGTTGTACCAGGACAGCAAGAATAATTTGCTTCACTTCAAGCTCTAGGATTGTGTGAAGGGTCTCCGTAGGCTGCTACAGTATAGTCTTGTGTACTTCTAGCTGTGTACTTTGCAGAGCCTGCTGATACTCTGCCGCTGGTTTTCCAATACACGATTCCAAAATTGACCAAGCTTGGCCGAGGTGCGGGCGCAACGTCCAAAATGCCTGCAGAAATCACCGTGCTCGGTCCCGACGGTGAATTGATTTATCATCATGCGGCAGCCAGACGATCGACGTTGGTAGAGGGCATTTTTCTCGTCCATCTCTTCTGTTGGCAACGGGGCGGCAGGATTCTGCTCGTTCGATGCTACTGCCGTGGTTGCCGCCTGCCATCGTCCTTGGCGAAACAATATTCTTCGTAGGGTGGGGTAATAGCCATCGACCTGCACAACGTTACAAGTCCTTGGGGCGGCGTGAATCCAAAATGCAGCCCATGTGAGTCTTGCCAATGCCGCTACAACCCCGACGAACCTGCGAAAAAAAAACTTGCAAGAATTTTGTCGGATTTTGCGTGAATCCATGCAAGCTGCATAGCATCGCTGCTTTTCGGCGCATAGCATTCGCGTCGTTTGCGTACAAGTTGATGCCAAGATAGTGACAGACGCGGATGGCCTCCAGCTCGGACCCAAAATACAGCTGCCCGGCAAATACATTCAAACAGATGGCGAATTGCGGAGGCACACATATGTCCAGCTGCTCCGGCACCGTGTATAAGTCCAAAGCATCCAGCGCACTATAGCCCTGGTTCGGCCGCGGCGCGTACAGACACAAGGCCACACTGGTGGATTTCTGGATCGCCGGCAGTAGCATTTGCGCCTCATAGGGGCTAATAACCATCATGGTGTCAATAGCCGGCGCTTGGGACCGCGGCGGGCTCACCAAAACCCACTGTACAGGCCGCTGCGTGCAGTCGGAGCCGCCCCCATCAACCGTCTGCGCAAAGTCCCGCGACACATACACATGAGGTGGACATGTATTGAGATCCAGGTACCGCGCGGCACTCGTAGCCGACAGCGAGGCAAAAGCCGGCACCCGGGCCGACGAATCCGCAGCCAGGCGGCCCGTCGCCACGTAGGTGACCATGTCCGGATGCAGGGCGTGCAACGCGGGCCGCTCAGGCGCAGCCCGCTGCACCTCGCGCTCCCGCTCAATCTCGGGCGACAGCTCGCGCTCCTGCTCCTCGCTTAGAGCCGCGGCGAAGTAATTCATGGGCCTGAACGCGCGGAATCGCTGGTTGATGGGATCGTCGTCCCCAGCTGCGGCTGCGGTGTCCATGCGTGGCGCATAGCGAGTCTCCATCGAGACTGCCTCTTGCTCCAGAAACTGGCTAGCTTGCGACCTTGTCATTTGGAGCGCGCCGTCCTCTGTCTGCGCCGCTTTCCAGACGGTGGCCTGCGCTTGATGGCGTCGTCCCTGGACGGCCCACAGGGGAACGCTGCGCGCTGCGTCTTCCCAGGTGCCTTTGATCGCCCATTGTAGAATATCGGCCACGGTGGGCTGGGTAGTGTGTAATTTGGAGCAGATTTCCCTGGGTACGCAAAAGACGACAGACTGTCCGTGGCCTAGTCTTCTCAACCTCATACACGCTATGTCCTGGTCAGTACTTGTCTTTCTCATCACTGCAAACATCTTACCCTGCACGAGTCTATCTTTGGTCAGGTTGGCGCCAAGTGTGACGGCCGCGCGGTAGTAGTGGGGTAGTGCCAAATCAATGCCGCGCGTGTGTGCCTCGTCTAGAAACACCACGCAGACGTCGAGCTGCGTGGCGAATGGCGACGTATGCAGCGGCTCGACATAGCCTTTGCGATCAAGGACGCAGATATGATCATCCCTGTCGACAAAAATGGCGGCTTGCGTCGCCTCATCACCAGAGAGTATAGACAGCCACGCTTGCGCCACGCCAATGTTATCAAGCTCCAGGATCTGTGCGCCGACATCCAGGATGACGCGTACCGGGGGATCCATCGCCGTCACGGTAGCAAGAAGCCGCTCCGCATCGGACAATGCCCCGTCCGGCGCGTGGAGCATGGG